ACAAAAAAATGCATTATCTTGGCTTCGTTTGAAATATCTGTAGTGATATACAAATCTAAAATTAAAAAAAAAAAACTGTCCTTCAACATTATGGTTAAATTCAAATAACATTTTATCACTTGGATCCGCCTATAAAACCGTTCCGGGTTTTAAAGTAAATAGTAAAACAGTAATAATAAGGTCCTTGAGCCGTAGACCTCTGTCACCAAAATCAAATTTTCCCCAGACGACTCGTCGCTGATACAATATTTAATTAACAATAGATGCAATGTTTTTTTTTTTATCTAATTTACCTAAACAATTTACGGTTGCCAGAGTTGTATTAAATGTTAGTCTTTAGGGGTATTATTCCGATATTTCTTGTGAAAACATAACATTTGAAACCCCGCAAGGAACATAATTGATATTGTCTTATTTTCTTCTTCAATTTTTGCTGCCATTACAAATTCACTTCTTCCGATCATAAATTTTATTTCTCCCCTGTTCTTCCCTATCATTTTTAAATCTTTCCCGACAACGTCCATCCACTTTTTTTCTGACGTCCTCGTGGCCTCTTTCCTGTCGGTTTCCGAAAGGTTTCCGAAAGTACTGCTTTAATTACTTACGTGATCGTCATTTCCACGCGTAATGTGTCCAAACCACTGGATTCTCTGACTTCTTATGTAACATTTAGTTGGAGCCCTTTCTGTTTCCTCTATTAGTTCGTTGTTGAACTTTCTTCTCCACGCAGTATTTAGGTCTAAATCAAGTCCACGCGTCATCTGCCATATCTTGTTTTCAAAGGCGGTGAGTCTTCGTTCTTTTACTATCGTAGTCGTCCATACACTTCGCATCCATACGTTAATGTAGCTCGCACTATCGTCATGTAAACCTAATTTTTGTTTTCTTTGACGTACCATCTTGTACGGTGCATATATTCATTTGGACAATTTCAAAATTAAATTATCTTTGAATTTCTAACTAACAGTAGTCTAAATTTGCAAGATTTGTAGGGAAGTATTAAACCCTCTTTCATAAACTGTTCACCGTTTCTCCGGCCCATTGGTGATATTTTCCATTTTAGTTGAAATATATTGTGTAGGTTATTGATGTAGTATTTATATGAATTTTTATACTCTGAAGTGTTTAGATAATATATTATTGCCATAAGGTTTATTTTTTATTATTATCATTTTTTTTTTTTTTTTATACGTATATATTGTTCACTTATTCAATATATTTGAAAATAACACTCGAAAGAAAATATAATAGTACAACAGCTGCAGCTGATGTTATGGAAATTTATTTTTCTAAAGTTTTAGATAGTTTTTTTTTTTTTTTTTAATAAAACTTTTATTATTTAACGCGGTAACTATTCTAAATAAATATAGTATATCAGAGTTCGGTTATTTTATTGTACATGTTTTTTGGTAAATTTGTATTTCCGAGTATTTCAAACTATACGGCTATGCCTATAATACTTCCTATCATTTATTTATTTTTGTACCTAAATATGGTCCAGTTACTTGTGTAATATTTTTTAATTATTCTGAATAATTTCGATTGTTTTCTGACTCTACTTGCTTATAGAAATATATGCGCAATATTTCTTTGGTCCCAAGGAAAAACGAAAAAGGGCTTTGTACAATTTCCAATGAAGACAAATTAAATTAAAAACAAATTTCTTTATGGCAGTGCGTTTAAAAAAATTCTCGACAAGTTTTTCTCCGAAAAAAAAATCCATAATTAAATGATAAGGTATTGTGTCGTATAATTAGCAGATGTAATTACATCTGTACACGATGAGTATTTAATTTGCCTAAGTCATAATTAAAAATTTAAATTATAATATTGTTAGATATCTTTAGTTAAAATCAAAAAATGATATGATGCCGGGCGATGTTTCTAGAGGACGGTGTGGGAGATCGGGTCATGTGGAAACTTAGGACAAAGGTGGTCGACCTCAAATAGATGAGATGAAATAGAAGGCAAAGAAGATCCTCAGCTACAATTTCATTCTAGTTATAAAATCGATATTCGCTTACAGTTATATAGTAAGTTATGATGACAAAACCCGTTGATATTTTTTTTTTTTTTTTTGCAACAGCATGCTTGGCAAACATCGGTGACGATGATGGCAATATTTCATCGTTATACTCGCAGAACCGATTGGAAATAACAATAATAATTATCGATTATTATTATTTCTTTTTTTTTTTTTTTTATTTGTACAAACATGTTTTCGTAAACTCTTATTATATGATGTGTATAGTAATAAATATACATGCCGTTAAGCAAACAATGACAAACAACGGATTTCATAAACTATACGTGTCTCCTTCGCCAAAAACGATTTCTAAAGCGGAAATAAAAATCGTCCCTTTTGCGTCGTTCCAAATTATTATTGTCAGAGTAAATACTAAACGTGCTGTAGCATTGCACAGCGACATAATTCGGTGATGTTTATAGGGGTGGGAGAATGCAATGTTTTTACATATTTCCTATTACCCTCCTACCTCCCAAAAAAAAAAAAATCGTATTTATCATAAACACCTTTTAGTGCAATACATTACTATTGCTATTACTAATATTTACTAAAAATATCCGTAGACTACAGTAGCTGGTTCGCGAAGAGAAAATAATTCTGTACGCTTTTTTTTCGTTTATAATGAATTTCTATTCAATCGATTTTATCTATTTACTAAATATTATATTTTACAACTCAAATATTTTAGATTTCTAATGGATTTCGGGATTTTTATTTTCATAAATACTGTGAGCAACAAATTATTCACATTTACATTTAACAAAAGGCTTAACAAATCTTGACAAACAGTTCAGTTCATTTTAATTTTAATATTAGAGGACATGCGCACGACGGGGTTTTTTTTTTTTTTTGCTTAAAACAATCTTTACGGAAAACACTTTGAGTGATATTTTTTTAAACCGCCCGAAAGCTTTTATTGTAACGATTAAAATAAATCTTTAACAATAGATTATCAAAGGTGTATATAAATACTTGTGATGTATTTATACAGAAAAATAAAATCACTTTGAATGATGAGTGATTTTAAATTATGCAATAAAAATCGTCTTTAAAACGTGAATTTAAAATACTGTGACAATTTTTGATTACATTTAAATTCTCCAATTATTTACCGTTTAAAAATATAATGTTCAAACTCTCAAGTCTATAAAAATTAAACGCGATTTGATTAAATAAAGTAGATACATATAGTTTTATTTTGTGTGATCGATTTGAGTCTTTTAGAACAATTTGGAGTATTTTGACAGATCTTTAATTATTCGTCAATGATTATTATCTTAGTATTAATCGACTCACTTTTTACTACGGTTTAATTGCCGTGTCCGCTTAACAAAACAAAACAAATCCGTGTAAAATCATTTGCTGTCGATCTATTTTGAGTTTAGTTAATAAATCCGTAACACATTATTTCCGAGTTCAAACTATTAGGTACCTATACCTACTCACTGCAGTTGGCATACAATTACACCGGAATTAAAGTTTCTGTATATAAAATCCCATACACATTATTGTATTTACACAATATCCCGGAGAACAATAAAAACGGGTAATTTATTTTACGGTTTTTTCCCCCGTTAAAAACATATGTATATGATCGCAATTGTACGAGTTATAAGGTACCTATTATGTACAGGGTGATATTAATAACGAAACGTGAATTATTACTTCTATAAAAGAAAAAAAATTTGGCTTTTATGTCGAGTGCCCGATAATATATAAAGCTTTTAAAAAAAAATAAAAAAACTCGAAGAAAACGTTAAATAATTATAAACTTTTCCCCGTAGTTGTGATACGAAACGGATTTCTAAATAATTAGTTAAATTATTATTACACCAATATAATAGTTTCAAATTAATTAAAATATAAATTCGTAATATCTGTTCGCTTAAGGTTTAATTAAAGTAATTATGAAATGAATGCGTACATTTTTTTTTTTTTTTTTTTTTTACAACCATATTTTTAATTTTATCGAAATCTTTTTAACGGGTATTAATTGAATATGTAAATTAAATTTTTAATTTCCGACTTAATAATCATAGTCTATACCTCTATTATTATAGATAATATATAAACTATTTTTTTAAGTGCATTTTTAATTTTTTGGGCTTGAATAAACGAATTTAAATTATTTAATATTTAAATGGAAAATATAAAAGTACATAAATTTACAGTAAAAGTTGTTTAATTCGCGTTAATTAAAAATTCTATACGAAATCTTCATAACATTTGATTTCGTAACTAGAAAATTTTAAGTATGAGAAAACCTATAGTAGGTGTCTACGTTTTTATTTTGGGGCAGTTTAAAATATAACATTATACTATACGTATACTCTCGTGTAGTTGAAAATAGTACAAGTACGGAACTATAGTAGAATACTAAGGACCAATAAAAGTTTTACGGAAGTTTACAAGTCTGGGCTGTTGTATAAGTTGTTATGGGAAAATCTTTCAAATCCTGTTATACAGACAGAAAAATAATAACTTAAGTATTAGGTTAAAGGTCACTTATTACGTACTCAGTGCAACAAGGAATATATAGATTTCATCATGATATTTTTTGTCCATCTCCAAATAACTTTTCCGATTTTGAAGTGTAGCGTCTCTTCTGGATGTAAAATTGTATCCAACCAGTCCGTACATATAAGAAATCATTTTTTTAATTAAAAGCGCGAAGGTTAACGGTTTCATTTTTTTCACATAAATATTTGTTTTTTTTTTTTTTTTTTGTAATTCAGTTCAAAATAATCGCAAAGGAATGATATTTCTACAGAACACGTATTTTAAAATTTTTTTGACATGGTCGAATTTTCAAAACATTCTCATTACTTCATCAATAATACCCCTTTGAAAATTTCTAATAATTCAGTAAAGTTCTTGGGATTTAACTCACGTGAAACCTATGATCCAATATGTATATTTAGATTATATATTGTAAGACTCTTAAGCTGCTAGGTTTTCGTGTCTTTGTTGATTTTTACTTGAGCACCTCATTAAACACCCTTTTCTGTTTCTTAGTTCGTCTCCTATTCTTGTGTATGGCATCGTACTCCGGGACCCATCCGTCGTTTCTGCTCGTCACACTGCTTATAAATTTAATGTTTCTTTTCCGCAACACGACTTCTTTCCTTAGAAAGTCATGACGATCGTCTTCACTCAGCAAATATAGCCTTATCGTATCTAATCTACTTTTATTCAAAATCGTCAGCCCGGAATCACTATGTCGTGTTTTTTTCAATGCTCTCTGCCGCAGTACACAATCATCTGTTCCATTCCACATTTTATTGTCTTCCTTAAACTACTATCTCAATACTTTGTCCTATCATCCGTATTAAGTGCGCTGCCAACACCTACCCTTCTTTCTTCCTCTAAAACAGATCCTAGTTTCCATTAAGCATTTTATCGTTGTTATACTCATACCTAAGTGATTCGTCCCGTACTATAAAATAAAAATAAAAATGTATATGAAAAAACTAAATGTTTATTACATTTTTTACATGTATTTAAAGTATATACATTTCGACGATAACTGTGTAAATTAACGTGGCATTCAAAACATGTTTAATCGAACTTAGCTCAGAATCGTATTTCGTTAGTAATGGTTTACCGTTTCGTACATATATAAATATTAAATAACTTTGCGCGTTCTATTTCCTTAACTTCTCACCTACAACAGTACAGCACACTTATCAGCAGTGTACCTCTATTTGTTTTATTTTATTTTGACGAACGAATGCTCCTTTTTACCTATTTTTTCAAAACCGAAATATTTCCAAATTATTTTATTCGTTTATTTTTTAAAAGGTTCAGATGGTATTTTATTTGTACAAATATATGTCTTGATTCTCAACAGTTTTCTGTAAAATAAAAAATGAAAAAAATCTAAGTGGGACATTTATAACGGATGTTGTACATATGTCGAAGTCAACAACTCGGGTACTAAAATTAACCGATACTTTAAACGAAACACGTTCAATTATAAATGCATTATAGCTAAACATGAAATTCGATGATCTATAAAATGTCAAAATTCAATTTATACGGTTCTTGCGGTCTCCGAATATTTGTTACTTGGGCATATCCGAAAATAATGGCACCAAAAACTATAAAATTGCCAAAGACATTAATGTATATGAAGATGGAGTACGTATCATATAATATGCTGTGTTGAAGTATCGGAGGGGGACGATAAATGAACTCGCGTGTGCTGTTTATAACGATAAAATGTTTTCCGGAAGGCCGTTTTTAAAAATCTCAACGACATATTACAGTATCTACTTCCGAGTCAACGTATAATTCCGGTTTTTCTTAATATCCGACACGCAGACCCGATATAGTACGTTTTAGATCATCAATCAATAAGACAAATTATTATTGTATCGCACAATTCACAATCGCATTTTTTTTTTTTTTTTGCTACACACGCGTATAATTTATGGTGAACGTTTTTATTCGAGTATCTATCCTAATAGTGTACAGTAAGTAAGTAGACACTTAACGCGCGTAGTACAATGTTTGAAAATTAAAATCACGGCTGAAACGAAATCACCCACGTACAAACGGGCCGCTTATCAGATAACTTTAAGAGAACAATTTGAAACAATATAATATATTATTATCAACACTGCCTATTTTTTATACGATTAAAACTTTGGTGTGTATACAGAATGGTCATTTTTTTTCCCGTGGATGAAAAAAATAAACCAGCCGGAAATGTTTAAATTTCATTAGTATTCACGGACGAACATTATCTTTCTTCCTATTATTGTTCTGCGGTTTTCATTCCGAATATTAGTTTACGTGTGATTTCCGTGCTCCTAGTATGTTGTTGGTCTTCTTCGTAATTTCTTACCAGAGTTGAATTACGGCACCGGGACACCGGGAAATCTTCCAGCAGATCACGATAAAAATAATTTATAGGTATCTAGTAAAGTCAGAATACGCGAATAACTGGATTAAATGTTAGAGTGAGTGTTATACAACATAAACTAAGCTGTAACGTGCGGTGCTCGATGGACATACATATTAAGCCGGTGAGGAATTGTCGGAGGCTACGGTAGGGCGTAGATTATTGGTTTGCAGTAATAAGCCGTCATGTGAAAACGCTTTCAGAGGAATGTATACGGCGAAAGAAAGTGATAAGCTGAGATGGGCGTGCCATGTATCTTTTGGAGCTGGTAGAATACAATTTTCCTGTGCTGTTTTTATGAGAATTCAAAGATTATTAATAGTTCATCGATAACACTATGATAAAAACGTACTTCGCGATACGAATAGATCGGTATTGAAGGTAGAGCAGCAGTACTTGAAGTAGGGATATTAGGTAGTTTTTGAAAATGACAAAGTTGAATTAGATAACACTACGTTGTCTCTTTTTGTGTAACCAAGGGAATCCAAAAGAACCCGGAAATAATAAAAAAAAAAATTAAAAGTACAATATTCAAGTTTCAAATGTAAGCAGAGTTTCATAGTTTTCCGTACCGCATACAGATTCTATACTGTAAAATCAGTTTACCGAAATTCGTTGTCAGGTTTTTTTTTTATTTTCTCATTGTTCAGTTGCCTTGCGTTAATCGTGAAAACGTTTTGAATAAAGTAAGGGCAGGTGTCGCGTTAAAGTCTCTTGTGATGTGAACCCGGGGTACGGAGTCTATCGCATTTTCGGGCGGTGTTCGTACGATGTTTAGAGACGCATTATTATCGATTGCTGTCGTGACGTACACGCGAACGCCAAACATAACTGCGGTAAACGATTGTATTCGCGGCGTTTATCGTTCGTTTTTCTGCCGTCGCGGAAAATATTCGCGAATAAATTATAGGTATCGTTTTGAAACAAATATAAATATTATTTAGGGACGCGGTCGGGGCTGGCTGCCGCGCGCGGTTTCGCGGCTCTTATCGCAAAAGTTTTGAAAAAAGAATACGTATATATATATATATATGCGTGTGTGTGTATGAAAAACACAAAAAAAAAAAAAAACTTTATATTTGTTTCGGGTCGTCGTGCGTTTGGCGGGTTTACACAAGACCACAGCCAATATGTCACTGATTGCGTGCGGCGGCGGCGGCGGCCGTTTGTTCAATATGTCACGTAATGCGAGTCCGTTAACCGCCTCCCGATGAGATTGTGCACATATATACACACGCGCATAGGTTAGGTTACGATACGTACGTATATATCGAGTACACTTGGCGTATCGCTCGTACGCGACGCGCACGCGCTGCAACGCGTATGTCCACCGCTCTTTTTCTCTACGTTGCACCGCACAGTATTGCCGGGCCCTTCGGTTTTCCGCGCCGTCCTGCACCGCCTCGCCAAAGGTTTTGGTCACGGGTCACGTATAGTAACATATATATATATTAATACGCGCGAGACGTGTTAGACGTTTGCGGTTTTCGGGATGATAAAAACACAATAAAGTTCGTCCAAACTATCCGTATGCAATAATAAAATAATAGCATAAAGATCGCACGCGAGTTTTCGCGTACCTATGTATCTGTGTAAGTTTTAGAATCTGAGCGGAGCGAGGAATGTATTAGTTTAAGTATGATGTGCGCGCGCGCGCGCGCGTGTGTGTGTGTGTGTGTGTGTGTGTGTGTTTTTTGTTTGTTCGCGAGGGACTTTTTCACTGGAATTCTTGGTTCAATCGAAAAATGACAAGAGACGAGTTTTTATTGCATTTCACAATGGTGTATTTTTTCTCTCTTTTCTTCGGTATTTGGAAATAATCGGTTTTTATTGAAATAGTACTGTTACAAACGTTACAGTTAGATATTACTGTAGGTTATCCAAATTTTTAAAATTCTATCGTTTTTCATATAAATTCATTTAAGATTTTCAATTCTAAGCAGAGACGACGTGTACCAACTGCCAATACGAATTTTGTCTAGCCGGTGTTTTCGTTATATAATATTATTCTGTGTTACGAACTTGTACAACACAGTTTCGGGAGGAATTAATTTTTTTATCGACGTCGTGAAAACTCTTGAAATGTAATACGAGGACACTTCAACACGGATATGTTTTTATAGTAATATATAAAATATCGAAAATCCGTAGTCGCGATTTTTTTTATCGAATTTACCGGGAAAATGAAGGCCAGTTACCCCAGCACCAAACTTGGTCATTTTTACTTTAAAATTATGTGAAGAATTAGTTAATATTTTTTTTTTTCGATTTTTTACTCCGTTTAACCCCCTAAAACAAATTTCGAATTCTGAGTAACAAGCCATAACAATTAGTTACACAGGTTTTAACTAATTTCTTACCTACATAATTTTCAAGTCGAAAATTTCAAAGTCTGTTGTCAGGGTAACTGAGGTGAAAATAAGGAATATTGCACTGCATCGCGTATTTTATAATATAGCAGAGAATATATTTTTTTTTACCTACTACTTTTGATCTTTTTAATAGCTATCTCTTGGTATAATGAACTATACACTCAGGAATACGAGTTTATTTGTATGTCGATTGAAGTGATAAAAAAAGAGTTGAATTTCAATATGAACCTAACTGTCTTGTTGTGGGTATAATTTTTTTGGCTTTATAGTCTGCTAAAAACTTCACAAATTAAGTCAAATGGATGTATTTTAGATTCTGAATTGAATGAAGAAGCTTATGGTTTTACAAAGATGTTATTTTTTTTTTTTATCTGTTAACAACTTTTCTACCAGAAGACCTGCTCGAATTTCTACCTGCACACCCTTTTATGAAAGGAAATCGGTATGGGGAAGTACTTTATGGAGGTCGGTTTTTGATTTTTTAAAGAGTTAACAAAGCATTACTATCATCTGAACTTCGCTAAGAATCGTTTTTTCGTAAGCAATGGTTCATCGTTGCTTACAGGTATACATTAAATTATCTATAACAGTGGCTGTGCCCATCCCTATTATCCTAGGACATCTTTTTTGTATAAGCATAGCACAGATCCTTTGAATTAGCTATGCAATTTTTGGGGATTTAACTTGTATCGTTACTCCTACAATTTGTATGATCGAATTTCACCAATTTTGTGAAAGTAGTTTAATTTCGGTATAATAGTATTCGGTTATTTATTTTTTCAAAGAATATGTTGATTATGATTGGTAGAAAATATGATGGATGATGGAATTACGAAGCTCTATTTATCTTTTAATAATATCGTTTGAAGTTCAGATTTCAATTAGAATTTTGTAAACTATTTTTCGGTTAATGAGAATAACTTTTTTTTTTTTTTTAAGTACCGTTTAAACGCTGGGAAGTTCAAACCACAAAGTCGGTATCAAGTTTTACTTATTGGT